ATACATTTTAAATACCTGAGAGTGTGTGTGTGTGTGTGTGTGTGTCATAAGCTGTTTATGGATGGAAAAGGTGGACAAAAAGCAACAGAGCTTTTGTTAAAGGACATTTTTAGCTAATTTACAATTTTCATTTATAGTCTTTCTTTCATTACATGACAAATCAAATTCTGGCTGAAAAAGTAATTAGTAAATATCTAGAAAGTTATAATTATATGAAAAATCTATACACTAAAAAATGAAATACTCACAAAAAGGAAATAGGTCTCTGCAGTACTCCATACAGATTAGGCACACTATTCCTCCAAGAAAACAAATGTTCTACAATCATGTTAGAGATGTTTCAGCATCTCTTTCCAATTATGAAGTACAGAGTTCTCAACAAATCCTACTTTATGTTTTGGCAAATTGTAGGCAGTTGCAAGTCTTACTTTTTGGTACTTATGAAACGGAGTTGACTAATCCTGTTTTTATAACAGTATACTGTGACAGTATTGTCACAGACTTTCCCTTTGGGAGCTGTCTTACACTCTCCCCTAAGAGGATCCCACTCATACAGATCATAAATTCTGGTTAAGTGAACTGACGTCTGTGGTGTCAGACTTACCCATTGTGAGTTACAAGGCACTGCCTCAGACCCAACTTTCGGAAGATATCCACCACAATTTCCATTGGGGTGTGGTCTGTCACTGTAAAAGGGCTCATGTCAAGGATACTTCGAAGTTTCAATGGCCGAGGACTTTCTGCTGGAAGAGATGGGGTGTGTTGTGCAAAACACACTCGAGAACTGCCAACGATCCCTTCTTGTTTTTTTCTGGCACTTTCTAAAAAGAGAGAGACCAAAAATTTTTAATTGATGAGTTTTGGGTTTTTTTATAGGCAACTTGTTTATTTTTAGGTAAATAATAAATGTATTCTATAACTTTTTTGTATCCTCTCTTTAACCAAGAAAGGAACCAATTGAAAAGTGATCTAGTAATTTCTTTTTTAATCTATTAATGACCAATAATCTTCATGTAACTAAAATATTTTTGGCATAATTATGTCATGATACAATTTTTCTTTCCTGAAGCCAAAGCTGTTTTCTAACCTTAGGAAATAAGGATACATGTTTGGAATATGGAATTTTAAAACATGTATACATTCTGAGAGCTGTTCATTATAGGAATCCATCATTGAATCAAGTCTACCTCTTATTCTGTATTGGAGATGAGACCAACAAGTTTCTTCCTTCCTTTGACTCTGTTGTACTAACTTCTCTTTCTAATCAACTGGCTCTCTCTTTTTTTCTGATGTTAAAGTGTAATTTTCCAGATGAATCATAAGCATTACAGATGGGAAGAAACTACAATTATGCTTGCAATGGGTACAGACTGACTTTTTGGGAGGTCTTATTTGTAAAACTTCTGTCGATTTCTCTACCTATCTAGCGGGCTCTGCTGAGAGTTCTTCTGTCCTGCTGGTTAATTCCATTTCCACCTTTGAAGGTGCTATACAAGAAGTAGCAAAGATGGAGAAAACTATAGAGACTACAGAAAGGAGAAGGAAACCCAAATGTACAGAATACGCAAATAAAATACTCATTCAGCTTCATGTTTCTATTTTAAGGTATTCAAAACCATATGTGTATAAATATGGTATTTGTTTTAGTGAAAACATTTTGAACATAAATTTTGCTGCAAAAATATTTAAGCCAAAATACCATCATTTGTAGATTGAGAAGCTGATATTACCATTCACAAACCCTAAAATACTTTTTACTCCTTTTGATGACTAAAGGCCTTTATTTAACTGTGCCATAATATGTCCAAGTAGCAAGGCACTAAGTGAGGAGGTTCTAACAAGCAGTACTTAGGAAGCTACCTTAAAAGCATCATTATGGTATGGGAAAGAAAATGACATATATACAAAATGTAGTGTATGGATCTGTTTTCCCAGCAAAATATTTAAAACTTCACAAAAATAATACTTGTATATATTGAAGGTGTGTTCTAAAAGTCCTCATGCGCCTAAAATTTCTGAGGGCATGTATTGATTGATATCTTATACTTCTAAAGTACCCCTACTCCCTAAAACCAACATTTTTCTCCCATCCCAATATATTTTTTTCTCAAGACAGTGAGAAGACTTAAAAAATATTTTTAGCACTTCTTTTAGGATTTTTTTTCCTTTGAATTTCTATATTAATTCTCATCTTTTCCTTTTCTTTGGCTGGCTAACAGTAAAATCCAGAGAATGGGTATCTAACAACAAAGTTCTTTCTGACTAGAAAGAACTTTGCCACGTAAAGGTTTGAAACTAAAACATTTGAATATATCAAGTCTGACAGCATACTTTGTCATCCCTGGCAATAACTATTCTATTACTCAAGCAAAAGCAAAACTTGGAATTATGGGACTGCAAATCTACAGACACACATATTTTATAAAAGGGTACCTATTGCAATTGTCAAGTCTCTTCTGAGGGCAAATCCCACTAATCTCTGAGATTCTTTTGACATTATGACAGGAAAACCATTGTAGCTAGTTTCATTAATCATATTTTCTATATCATCCACTGTCATATTGTCCTGTGTCAGGACAGCTAGAGGAGGATCATTCCTTCGAGGTCTCATGACATCGGCAGCCAGGGTGGTATGAGTGAATTCTTCTTTTGCATCCAGAAAAGGGTATCCATTTAATCGGATGTGAGCTTCATAAATGCCTTCTCTGCCAAAGGCATCTCCAACCCATTTACTTGTCATTACTGCAGCCATCAGGGGAACAATATATTCCAAGCCTCCAGTAAGCTCAAAAACAATAACCACCAGGGAGACTGTCATCCTTGTCACACCACCTGAAAAAAATAAGTACCACTGTTCAGAAAAGACAGGATCCTCACCATCACATGTGACTAGAATTTTGTACTACACAAACAATAGATACAAAATTGTAGCTACAACTTAATGAAAAGCATCATCATCAAAAACTACTCCTCTTAGGACAATAATCACTTCCTTTATAAAAAATTTTTTAGTTGTAGATGGACACAATATCTTTATTTTATTTATTTATTTTTTAATGTGGTTCTGAGGTTCAAACCCAGTGCCTCACATGCATTAGGCAAGTGCTCTACCACTGGCTACAACTCCAGCTATAATTACTACTTTTAATACAATGTAGAGAAAAAAAACGATCTCTGTTTATAACACAGAAGCCTATTCGAATTACATTTCAAAATCTGTTCACCTAATATATATTAAAAAAAAATCACAGATAACCAACTAAAACAATGTTGCCACTTTGGTCTACTGCTGTAGCAAAAACCCAAGTTCATACTTACTAACAGTTATTATTAATTCTTAAAGAATTTGGTGAAGCACATCACTGTTGTCTTGTTTGCTACCAATCACAGATTAAGCTCCTTTATGGGTAGAATATCAATCTTTAATAAATTTCTATCCTCTAAATCTTTTCAAAATGAGTAAAATATTTTGATGCCTTGGGATCTATATTCACAATATAAAATGCCCCCTGTAAGAAATCACCTATTCTTTTACTCAAATCATCATTCTTCACTATTATCCAGACGGCGATGCCTCCAATCCACATCCTTTTATTTACTATTGCCTTTCTTCCACATACTTCAAATTCTGCACAACTGTTTCAACTGTGAAGACTCTGGAAGACCCAACATCACAGAAAACATAATACCAAACTCCTTTTCTTCCTCATATATCCTCATTTAAACTTCCCTAACCCCAATTCCTGGCACCACATTCTTCTTAGCAACCTAAGTGATCATTCTTGGTTTATCCCTTTATTCCAATATCTAGACTGCCATGTAGTCCTAATTTCCTCGACAAAGTATCCAAATACGTGCGGGTTTCTTCTTCAGTATGGTCACTGTTAACCAGCCTAGTCTAGACACTCAAGACTTTGCTCCTTAATTTTAATACCACTTTATGTTACTGCCTTGACTCCAGGCCCCATTACCTTCAATCCACATTATAGCCATGTTCCCAGGAGAGCCTTTCCTAAGTACTACTTTATACCATGTTGTTTCTTTGTTCAAAAACCTACATGGGGCTAGTCAATTCACACTGTACTAAACTTAAACTCCTCCTCTTATTTTATCCTTCAAATAGAAGGGAGATATATACCTGCTTTGTACCTGACATGTCCTACTCAGTTTACAAAGGCTTTTTAAAAAAATATTTATTTTTTAGGTGTAGCTGGACACAACACTATGCCTTTATTTTTGTGTAGTGCTGAGGATCAAACCCGGGTCCCGCCTGTGCTAGGCGAGCGCTCTACTGCTGAGCCACAATCCCAGCCCCCAAAAAGGATTAAAAAAAAAAAAAAAAAACTAAGCATTTAATTTATCAGGCACCATTCTAATAGCTTTACATGTTTTTCTTTGTTTTGGTGAAGGGGATTAAATCCAGGGCCTCACATTTACATGCATTTATTCTCATATAATCTTCAAAACAACCATAGGAGATAAACAGCTATTCTTTCCATTTTATAGGTGAGAACATTAAAAATCGAAGAAGAAAAGAAAGTTACTGAAAGTTATTCAAGTTGAAAATGGCAAAGGCGGGGTTCTGTCACAAATCCTATTCCAGATACAATTTCATCATGACAGAAATCTGGGCCCTTGTCTTTTTTTTTTTTTTTTTTAATAATTTTTAAATTGTAGATAGACACAATACCTTTATTTTATTTATTATTTTTTTTTAGTGTGGTATTGAGGATTGAACCTAGTGCCTCACATGTACAAGGCAAGCGCTCTGCCACTGAGCTACAATCCAAGTCTTGGGCCCTTGTTTTTTTATAATCTGTTCCTTCTCACCAATCCCACTTTGTTTCCCAGAAGATTCAAAAATGTACTCAAATCATAAGTTTCTTCAAAGACCCAAGAATATACTAAAATTATTCCCATCCGAATTTTTTTGTCTTCACATTACCATCTTCAAAAGAATTATTTTTAAATTTTTACTAATCTTTTAAAATAAAGCTCAGGTGGAGGTCCATCCTGATAGGGCCTTTCCTATAGCCACACATTGCTGTAAATACCTGATAGAGTAACTATGGTTTTACTTTACTCACAGAACTATTTGTTAGATCTATGAGAAAGAACTAAAGGATAGTTACAATAATAAACTTTTTACCTTAGGTATCAGTATATCCCACAGATCTATACCAAATATGATTTGACTCATTCATGATTACAGATGGTATCAGTAATTGAAAACCAGGCAGTCTGGCTACTCTAAAAATGACCCTAAAGTAAAAGAAATTAAATCCCAAAGATTCCAGAAAGGGAATTTTGAAGTTGTTATCAGTGTGTCCATAATTCAAAGTGGAGAGAAAAGCAGCCCATATAAAAGGATCATGGCCTGATATTACAACTGTGGATACAGCATCAGTGTTTAGGGGGGTTTTGTTTGTTTATTTTTAAGGGCTATTTTGGAGATAAATCTTGACTCAAGAAGAATAAAAGTGACCTAGATGGGTAATGGAAGGAATCACAACACATGAAATTCCTTAAATAAAAGTGGATGGGGGGCTGGGGATGTGGCTCAAGCGGTAGCGCGCTCGCCTGGCATGCGTGCGGCCCAGGTTCGATCCTCAGCACCACATACAAACGAAGGTGTTGTGTCCGCCGAGAACTAGAGAATAAATATTAAAAAATCCTCTCTCTCTCTCTCTCTTTAAAAAAAAAAAAAAAAAAAAAAGTGGATGGACTTAGACACGAATTGGTGTGAAACTTTGTATACAACCAGAGATGTAAAAAATTGTGCTCTATATGTATAAGAATTATAATGCATTCTGCTGTCATAAATACATAATTAATTTTTAAAAAGAAAAAAGCATGTGATATTAATAAAAAGCATAAATTGCCTTGTTTAAAAAAATGAATTGATTTTTTAAAATAATAAAATAAAGCTCAAGTTCTATCCTTCCTGAACTATCTCAGCTCTTTGTTCCTCTAGATTCCTACAATATTTAGACTCTTTCAGCACTGTATATAATAATTGTCATTGCTCATACTTGTTTTCTCAGTGTTAGTCTTCTCTTCCCCGGGGTGATTGTAATTGAGGCTGGGCCCATGTTTTATACTTTTTGTATCAAAAAAGAAAATGGAAGCTTAATATTTACTTGCTACTTTAATGAAAATATTCTGTCATTCATTTCCATTTGATATTACATTTTTGAAGATCAATAATTACATAATTCTGACTCGCTAAACAAAATTTATAAAAAACATTAAATATTATAACCAAAGTTTAACTATATTTTAAATATAAAAAGAAATGACCTGTTTTTCATGCCAAAGAAGATAATAGTCTCTTGAGTATTTAATACAGATAGTTTGCTTTTATTTTTGTTAAAATTAGTTGTTTTCTCCTTTTACTATAAAGGCACCTTAAGCGGTGGGAGGCTGATAAAGAAATGTTTTATTAAGGCTAACAATAAATTATTTATAAAGTTTTAAACCCAAAATATTCTGAAGTTTTGTTATAATGCTAATCTTAACAATGCTATAATTGTTAGAGATAAGCTAAGATCCTTAGTAATGGAAACAAAAATCTCCTTGGACAGGATTTGAATTAAGCCTATGTTGTACTGAGATGATTTCTGTCATAAAGAATTATGTGGTATTACAAATATGCTAACTACTATTCCATTTTTGCAATTACAAATGTTCTCACACAGGTAAAATGAAAACCAGTACTGTATAATATCATAAAAGCACTACTGTTTCCTTTGTTAAAATAATCTCTCACTCAATACTACACCCTCTGTCTCCCGCCAACTCGCCTACCAATTAAGTGTGAGTGTACTACACCATTGGCTGTTTTCTCTCTTAGACTTGCAAATATCCAAACAGAGGCAAGACAAAGACATATTACCTAAGCATGCAGCAGCACCAACCATGGCATAAAGACCAGGCGTAATGCAATCAGCTCCAACCTCGCACCACTCCTTGAAGATGAACCAGTCATGGTGATAGTAGGCAAGCTGTTCCACTGCAATCCCCACAATCCTTCCGGCTATTGCTCCAATGGCCATGCTGGGGATGAACAAGCCTGAGGGAACCTAAAACAAAAACAGAACTCTTGGGAGGCAGAGATCCTCTAATTACATGCTCATACCTACATTCTGTGGTTTTAACACTTTTGATTCTTTTCACATTTTACTGATAAAGCAAAATATTAGTAGAAATATAGCAAAATCTTGTTTAACAGTACTTTAACAATTCCATGAATTTAGTTACAAAGTAACAAACCACACTCTCTAGGCTAAAGAGAAAATAACTCAAGGATTAAATCCTTTTATCTCAGGGATTCCCTAATGCTATCCCCTAACAAAATTTCATTAGTTCATGTGAAATGAAAAAAAATAGGACAATGAGTATTTTTCATAAAATTCAGTTTGAAGCACTATACTTTACTCCAAGACTATGTCCTTCCTACATATGTACAAATGACAGAAATAGATGCTATTCCTCTTAAGAGGTATAATGCAAAGTGAACAATCTTATTAGAGTCCCCTAATATTTTGACTCAAAAGTCAAAAATATTTATTGACTAAATTTTTTTAAAAAATATTTATTTTTTAGTTGTAATTGGACACAACACCTTTATTTCACTTACTTATTTTTGTATGTAGTGCTGAGGATCGAATCCAGGGTCTCCCACGTGCTAGGCAAGCACTTTATTGCTGAGCCACAACCCCAGCCCTTATTGACTAAATTTAAAGAGGATAATAGAAATAGTGAACCTCTTAAGCAAAATGATTTAAAGACCACTGACAGGTTAATTGCTCTAACTTGTTCTGGTCATGAAACAAGCTGAGCACAAAATGATGAAAGGATAGAGAGCACAAGGGTCATTAAAATGATATACAATAGAACACATCAAAGTGCCTTTTAAGATCTCCTAACAGTTACATTCCTTCACCTGGAACAAACATAAACTGGAACTTAACTGCCAACTATTTCCAGCTTCCTTATATAACTGTCCATGACAGTTAACTCTAGTAGCTGATAAAGTTGGGATTTATAGAAAATAGATTATTATAGTAAAAGGAGCTTTAACAGCTCCTTTAACTTGATTTGCTAAGAAAAAAAGTAAAACCTCAAAGCTTTTCTGTTTTTAACTCTTTATAGTCAATGGACTAAACAAGGACAATGGAAATATCGATCTTACTTCAAAAAGTACTGCAACTACAATTTCTAGAAATAAAGCTGCTATTCCACATAATTCACATCTGTGAAAGCACACTATCACTGGCAAATATTAACTATTATGTAAACTACAAAAAAAAAGGGATATGACTCAGTGATAAGTGCTCTTGGGTTTGAACTATATTTACTGGCAGATCCTTAATCAATGAATGTTATTTAAAGATAAAGGACAAGCCAACATCTGCTTCCCTATATACATCTAACAATCAAAAGACAGTGGCACATGCCGTAAATTCCAGTGACTTGGGAGGCTGAGGATGAAGATCCCAAATTTAAGGCCGGTCTCACAACTTAGTGAAACTTTGTCTCAAGAAATAAAAAAGGGGGTCTAGGGTTGTGGCTCAGCGGTAGAGCGCTCAGCTGGCATGTGTGAGGTCCTGGGTTCGATCTTCAGCACCACATAAAAATTAAAAAATAAAAAATAAAGGTATTGTATCTAACTACCACTAAAAAATAAATATTTTTTTAAAAAAGGGGATATGGCTCAGTGATAAGTGCTCTTGGGTTGGATCTATATTTACTGGCAGATCACTAATCAATGAATGTTATTCTCACTTTTGTCAAGTACAAGAGAAACAACATTCCACAAACTTAGGCTTAACTGCCTTAAATCCTTGATATAAAAAGGCATAGTACTCACAGACCCAGTAATTCAATTCTGTAGTATCTTTTCAAAATAATACCCTATAGTGCTATGGCAGTCAGAATAATGATTCCCTGAAGATGTCCATATCCTAATTCCCAGAACCTGTGAATACTGTTACATGGCAAGGAGACATTAATGTTACAGACAATTAAGGTTTCTAATCAGCTGATACCAAAACAGAAGATTATCCTGGATTGTCTGGCTGGGTCAAAAGTAATCACTAGGGTTTTGTTAAATGTGGAAGAGAGATTTATAGGTTAATGTCAGAATAATGGGACTAGAGAAAGTCTTGACCAGTTGTTTCTACTTTGAAGATGAAAGAAGGGGACATGAGCCAAGGAATGTTCACAGCCTCTAGAAGCTGGAAGAGGCAAATCCCACACTCACTCCTACAGCCTCTAGAATGCCCTGTGAACACCTTAATTTTACCCAGTGAAACCCTTTTAAGTCATCTGACCTCACAAATGTAAAATAATTAATTAGTGTAGTTTTAAGCCATGCTCATGAAAATTTATTATAGCAACCATAAAAAACTAATACAACTGGTTTTAAAACATGACCAGGAGTAATGACACTTCCTCTACTAAGTACATGTCTTTCCTCCTGAACCTGAATGGCTTTCTGTCACTGCCTCAGTGAATAGAAAAAAAACAAACAAAACAAAACAGAAGTCATACTGTGTGACTTCTTTAGCTTTCCTGGGACACTTGCTTTTGGAATACTGAGCTATCACATATGAAATCCAAATATCCTGAGGCTACCATGCTGGAAAAAAACAGAGAGAAAGTAAGACATGTATATTCCAGAAGCCTAGAAGTTGTAGTACCAGTTGTCTGAATCTTCTCAGCCCAGGGGCTAGACATACGAATAAAGTCTGAGATGATATGTCTGATAACAATTGTACAAAACATAAGCAAAAAATGCCCAGCTGAGCTCTTCCCAAATCAAGAACAAAACAGGTAGTTATCTTAAGATGCCAAAGTTTTGGGTAATTTGCTAAACAGTAACAAATAATAAACTTAATAATCTGCTTAAGGAACTACTTTTTTCCCTATTTAAAACTAAACCTCAAAGATGTGCTTTTTCAGCCTTCATTTATGAAACAATAACCTTCATATAAAAATTTAATTTTTTATTCCATATATAAGTTTTGAACATGCCAAGATTAGACCACCTGATATTAGCACTTACCTTTATACCAAAAGTGAATACTGTCATTATGATTTTAAATATGAGTGCTAAGCATAACTGC